ATTTGATTCTGTAGCTTGTATTGCCGTCTAGATACTACATTGTACCAAAGACAAGGTTAGTTTAAGTTAGATTAAAGCGTTAAGTTGATCGTCAAAGTCCACATCAGCATTTGTAGAAACCATAAGAAATGAAACTGACGTTTATGCTGTTCCCTTGTTCATGCTATTCCATTCCCGTGAAATTATCTAACTATTTATCCATGAACATTTTTGTATTTGGTTTGCTTGAAGGAGTTTTATGATCTCTTCCTCTCCTGGCAGAATTTTAAAACCTGTTTTATTGGCATATTTCTCTAACGGATTACTCTGCTATCTATTATTTGGATAGACGGAAGAGAATGAAAGAAATGGCGAATTTCAAGGTCAAAACTGATGTTTATTAAATATTACAAAACGTATGTATTTTAATAAAGTATTTAACTTGGTTATAATCGACATAGGTTGTTACAAATAATTCTATGAGATTGAATATGATTGGGATGTAAAAACGGGGAATGTTTTGATAATATTGCTACTTATACATACACACAATAGTAGGCCTACCGTTTGATAACCTTCATTGAATTGTATTAATACTGTCACAGTCTTTCTCATTTCTGGTCATTTTTATTTGACTCTCTGCCAGAAGAGACAGCAGTGTGTACAAGCAGAAATCAAAAAGATGCCAAAAGAACGCACTATATAAATACGATCACGGAAGTAGACGTCTACACAGAAGTTTGTTACAATGGAAATTGTAGTGTCGGGCAATAAATAAATTCATAATCATAGTCATCAGACATAATCGAAGATGAAGGAAGTAGTTCCATGAACAGCACGAACCTAGAACATCGTTCTTATAAGCAATCTGTTAGTTTGGGAATCGAATTCTGAATTTTAGTTTCTTAGGTCCGTAAATTTACCGTTGACACACCGGGGAACAGTTCTTAATACAGTATGATTAATTTTTCGTACACGAACAAGTTTTAAAGATTAATATAGTAATCTTTATAAATATAATAGTATTGTCTGTTGTAAGTGCATATAGCTACTTCGCAGGGTGTGGATGGATCTTCACCCAAAATGGTATGGAGGTTCATTAGGGACATGCAAATTAAGTATACATTAAGTACATACAAATTTTCAGTTTTGCATTTCGCGGTTTTTATGGGCGTTTTTTACCACTACTTGGCCCCCCTATTGATCGATCTTCATCATATTTGGCATGAAGGTTTGTTGGGTCCATGCGAAAATAGATGTAAACTTGCGGTTTCACATTTTGTGTTTTGCAGTTTTCATGGGCGTTTTTGTGTTTTTTTACAATTACGTATGAGGGGAGCATCTTTTTCCGTCTTAAGATAACCTTTCATTAATCATGAATTTACATAACTTCCGTCCAGGGGACACGGGTACTCCAGCTAGTTATGTATCGTTAATAATGTGGTGTTACGTATTAAGTGAAAAATGTAACTTTATTAAGAAAATAGTTTAGAATTAAAGAAAGATGTATATATTTGAAATATCCTGCAATCTATTTATTTGTTTGTATTTGATAATATGCACAAGCTGTTTCTTTTAACAAATTTTGTATGTAATTCACTTTGTATTATTATTACTAGGTAGCTATGAAGCAGATTCACTTGTTCTGTCACTAGTAACTTTAATGTTTTAACATACGTTACATCGTTTTCTATTTGTAACAATGTAGCTTTAATTATCATACAAACATGAATCAGATTCACTTGGCCTGTCACTAGTAACTTTTAATGTTTTAACATACGTTACATCGTTTTCTATTTGTAACAATGTAGCTTTAATTATCATACGAACATGAATCAGATTCACTTGGTCTGAAGCCTAGCATGGCCAGGTGGTTAGGGCGCTTGACTTGCAGTGATATTAACAAGCTACCTTCCCTCTAGCTTATAACTGAAAATCCGAAGATATCGTTAGGCATTTTCAGTAAAATATTTGAGTGATCTCCCTCCCGGATCAGCGATAAATTTATGGACAGAGCACGGATAAGCCATTGTGTAGTTTTGCGCTAAACAATAACATTTAAATATTACTCTCTATAGCTAACATATTCAAAATGAACAAACTAATGTGGTAAATTAAGCACAATTATTTTGAACAGTGGTGTGTAGGTACTATATGATATCTTATCCTTCTCACTTGTTTATGGTCGGTAAATAATAGTGAAATAATGTTATGTGGAAGAATAAGGCTTCCAGAAATTACGTAAAACGATTCCACAAACAATTATGAAAAATGTACCATGTCTTAAGGTTATTGCATTAAAACATCCTAAATACTAAGCCTATATTATAATAAAAAAAACAACTAACATTTTGATCCATAGGAGAAATCGTAAAAAAAAATAGTATTTCATTCAACTAGAATCTTTTTTTAAGTTGGACTTAGAAAACTTAAGCAACGTAATTTAATATAACACACTTTAAAGGATATGCAGAGGGTTGAGTACATTATATTAAAACAATTTTCAACATTGAAATCAACAAGTCAGGTGACAATTGCAACTGATATAAAACCGCGGTGGAACTCAATGCATCAGAACTACATTTTGAGACTGCTTGGCATTTCGAAGGTTATGTGATGCCTCCGCAAATTGACCACTGATGGGAAGGGTATGTTACAGCCCTTTATATAGGAAAATAATCATACTCTTATATTATAAAAATGTATTTAGATCGTATATTTAGAATTTCTAAGACGAGAACATTCCTTGCGCTAAATAGCATTGGAAAACAAATGAATATGCATCAGTTTGGGTTGGGGTACAAGGAACAACCAGAAATAGACCTGCAACAAGTCGTATAACACCCATAATACACAAATTTTGGCGTCTTTTAACATGTGAGAACCCATAAAAAAATAGATCAGTGGCAAAAATCGTCCACGTGATCCAGGCATCATTACGCAATATAACCAAGAATTATTTTCGTCTGAAAAAGCAACACAAGTCGCATGCACATCAGTTACTTCTACGACACATCTGTTCAATTGTCACATACCTCAAGCAACTGGAGAATGAAATGTGTAATCATGCTATTGCATACGAACACATACCGATCATTGGATTTCTGTGCGATCGGATTCTAGAAAGAGACGCTGGAAAATCATAGTATTCGTATACTAGATGGCTTAAGGAATGGTTTGTTATGAATTTCGCGCAAAGCTACACGCGGGCTATCTGCGCTAGCCGTCCCTAATTTAGCAGTGTAAGATTAGAGGGAAGGCAGCTACTCATCACCACCCACCGCCAACTCTTGGGCTACTCTTTTACCAACAAATTTTGGGACTGACCGTCACATTATAACTCTCCCACGGCTGAAAG